CATTCATCATAAAAAATTTCTTCCTTATATCTCATCAAAATCTTCCCTCTTTCAGTTTAAAGCCATTGCCCTGTGTCCTGTCACTACGTGCCCTTGTCCAAAGCCCCTCTCCACCTTTCTTGTAGCCCCTTTAGGTACTGGAAGGCTGCTGGAAGATCTCCCTGGATTGAGGGATCTCCATCCTTTTGCAGCTTTTCAAGACTCAACTGGACAAAGCCCTGAGCACCTTGTTTGAAATCAGTGCTGGGCCTGGTTTGTGTTGGAGTAGAGATCTCCTCAGGTCCCTTCTCATTGAGTGATTCGATAAGACCCTTGGACATAGCAGAAGAGGCTGAGACCTGGAAGCTGATTGCAAGCAGCAGAGTGCCCTTCCTCTCCCTCTGACTCCTTAGTTTTAATTAATGCTTCTCCCTGGGCTGAGAACTGTTTCATCCTTGAATCTGCCTCTGCTTGGAGGAGAAATGAGTGTCCTGGAGCTGAGGGGTTTCCAACAAAAAGAGGTCTATGTACCTGCAGAGATCTCTTCCAGACTTTCTTTTCTGCCCCAGAATCGTCCATTGTGGTTTATGCCAAATATTTTAGTTTTCAATTTTGAGTGGTTGCAATCAGAGCCCAGCCAGCCTTGTCCTCTCTGACCGCGAGGTACCGATGTTCACCCAGCCCATGAGGAGCTACCTCTGATGACTTCTTCTGGAGGGAGAGCACCACGTCCCATGCGTCAGAGGGGCACCCAGATCCGGGGATTCTGAATGTCTCTAGGAAAACTTCCATTCTTGACCTGTCTTGGGAAGGAAATCTGGTCCTTTCACTTGTCCTGTGCTCTCCCTTGAATATGGACTGGTTGCAAATGGCGTGGTGAGACTGGCAGGTGGAATGACTACATCACACACAGCTCAGATACTTCATCTGTACCAATTAGGTGCATCTGCATGCACAGACAAGTTCAGCACTGACTCGTGCAGTGATGGGCCCAGGAGGTAACAGAGCTATTTTGAACTTCCATCTGTCTTTCTAATGACTGATACTGCCACCCAATTTGCAATTAATTATGTGGCTGCAGCAACAGTGTTATCCACAAGCCAAGGCTAGATCCAAGAGAGGACCGTACTGTCTTCTCCTTGAATATTGGAATGGAGAGCAGGAGGAAAATAGTCAAAGCATAAACATGGGGTTGTGAAGTGATGCTTCTCACCTAGGTTTTATGGTTCCCTATTGAAAATGCATATGGCTGCATCTGTGCTGCTCTGATGCTTTGGTAGACAAGTGCCACCAAGATATTAAACATGAGTTAAAGCAATGCAATGCCCAGTGGTACCGCTGAGGTCATCCAGTTGGGCGCAGCCTCTGTATGGCATGAGACATAAAACTGCCCCAAAAAACCCCAAAGCTTGGTTCCTGCATCCACTTCACATCTGGCAGCTGAGCATGTTAACAGTCATTGATTTAACACGCTTTCAGAGCGTGGTATGAACTTAGAGAAATCCTTGCGTGGGGTTGGAGTAGGTGTAGCCCTGATAAAAAGGGTGAATAAAACCAGTCTTAGCCATGGGGTCATGAGAGGCTTCTCCTGTGCATCCTGCCTGCACTGTCAGTTTTAGCCTTATTGTCCTTAGTTCTCTGCCCTGAACTGGGCAGGGAAGACAGGTTTTCAAGGATACACTATGTCTCTTCTCACGAGCCCTTGGCCTGATCCTTTTGTATCTCAACCCTTTTCACTTCTGAGATTTTGTGCGTTACAGTCGTTCGGACTCGGGGATAATCATAGAATCACAGAATGGGTTGGGTTGGAAGGGACCTCAAAGATCATCTAGTTCCAACCCCCCTGCCACGGGCAGGGACACCCTCCACTACACCAGGTTGCCCAAAGCCTCATCCAGCCTCCTGAAATGCATTTGATAAAAGACATAGGAGGCTGGTAATGTCTCCTAGACAATTTGTATGACAAATGAGACAGTCTCTAGTGATTTTTTTTCACTCTGGCTTGGTGTAAACTGGCTGTCTGTAAAACTGTTACCACTTTGCCATAACAATCCATCTTTGCCATAACCATCCATCTTTGCCATAGCCATCCTCTGTCTCGCTCCCTCCGCAGGTGATGTGGCTGCCGGGCACGGAGAGGGAGCTGGTCAGACAGATTGCTCCAGGTTTCCAGCAGACTTCTGGCCTCAAGCTGGACGCTGAGCGCATGAGGGAGAAGGGCATCGTGAAGCTCAACCTGCGTTACACCAAGGTCAGCTTTGCCATAACCATCCATCTTTGCCATAGCCATCCTCTGTCTTGCTCCCTCCGCAGGTGATGTGGCTGCCGGACACGGAGAGGCAGCTGGTCAGACAGATTGCTCCAGGTTTCCAGCAGACTTCTGGCCTCAAGCTGGACGCTGAGCGCATGAGGGAGAAGGGCATCGTGAAGCTCAACCTGCGTTACACCAAGGTCACAAACGAGGATGTCAGGTACAGCCCTTGGTTTGGGCACTGCATGATAACCCACGTGCTCCGTGGCAGGCGTCCGCAGTTCTCCGCATCCTTGTGCCCTGTGTGCATCCCTGGCCCAGCAGCATCTTTTCTGAGCATCCCATCTTATCTGCGTAGAGATACCTTTTCAGATGGACATGCTCTTGAAAGCTTGAGCTGTGCAAGCTTGTCCCTACCCATCACCCAAGCTGTTCCTAGGAGCAAACAACAAACTCTCTTAGCTCTACATGCTAATTGAGTATACGATGATGCTTTTTGAAATACAAAGATATGAATCGTCTGATTCTTATTACACTCTCAGCTCTGGGAAAAGTGAAGGCTTTTCACACCGAGTACCTCCAAGTGCTGTTTCATCCTCATTAGCAGCTGCCCTTTGCTTCTGTTTGTCTGCTCCAGAGTTGCTCCCGCAGAATTTTGATTAGTCCAAAGTCTGGATATGCTTTCAGAAATTTCTCTTTGCAGAGAATTCACTTGATTCATTGCTGTTCTGTGTCAGCTATTTAGACTGGTCAGGTCTCCTCTTTGATGAGATTGGCACAGCGTGAGGTTTCTCTCCTCCTACTCGAGCTTGTATTTGAACCATGCAATGTGTTAGCTCCCAGCTTTGCTCCCGTCTCAGAAAGGATGGATTGTCTCTAGTAGAGCTTTTCTGATTTTCAGACTTTAAATTTTTTCCCCAAAGAAATACTTGAAAATGAAACAGGTTTGCAGAATTAAAATATCTCCAAAGGAACTGTCTTACTGTATGTTTGGGCTGGAAGCAGGGAGGAGCTGAGCCCACAGCTGTTTGAGAGCATGGTCCTATTTAGCGTAATCCAGTGGTGTGTTTCCATGGCTTCCAGCAAACAGTCTAGTTGCTCACCCTTAAAACCAAATCTGTGCTTTACCTGCCTGTTGTTCCCCCTGCTTATTTGCTCTGTATCGCAGAGAGGATCGTAGGTCAACTCTCTCATCTACCCCAGCTCATCAGCCCCAATCTCTCGTCAATCCCACCTCAGCTGTCTCCAAAACCAGACCTGCCACCTTGAACCCTGGTTCAAGGTTCCTTGAACTCTGAAGGCCTTGTGGTAACTGGCCAAACGTTACTGCAGTCCTGCAGCATGAGCCAGAGCAGTCAACAAGCCCTGGTTTGACACGGTTCTCTTAATCCCCCAAAAATCAGCATCTGGAGGTAACATTGCTGCAACCACCTCTGCCCTTGAGAATCCCTCAGCCTTTGGAGCAGCTTGATCACGTTGTGAGCTTTGAGATGTTCACATCTTGCAGAGTGGCCTTCCACCACCAAATCGCAAGGATTAATCCCTGTGCTGCCCTTGCGAGGGAGATTAGTGATGCTTCTGCTTCGTGGATAAGGAAATGGAGCAATTTATGCAAATCATGTGGGTACAGGGAGTCCACTATCAGTGTTTGGTTTGCTGCTGGCAGCTCCTGTACCCCGTCTTGCAGTTTAAGCTTCTTGGAAAATGACCTCAGGAGACTGGAAGCTGTAACTCTGTGCCCGTCCCCGAAACAAGGGCATGGGGTTGTAGGAATTGATGTTGGAAATGCAGTCTGTCAGTTTTTAATTAAGTAAATTGCCTATGAAGTGTTACAGGCGTCTGAGCCAGATGTTAATTTTACGTCAACATGACGAGGCGGTTGTTACAAAAACATGCCGTGGCCATCGTTCATGAGGAAGTGTCTGAGATGGTCTGGGACCTGGGTCAGAGAGCATCCAAGAGGTGAAGAAAGCTCTTCAGTTCAAACCATTTGATTGCAATACCCTGGGGTTGCCTATGAAGTGATCATGCCATGTTAAAAAAAATACAATTTCGCGCAATCCAAACCCAATAAATCTAGCTGCGATCGCAGCGGTGGCTGATGACAAGAGCTCTCCTCTTGGAGATGATGGTCTGACTTTTTCTGGGGGACTCACGTCTTACCTTGTCCATCTCTTGGCAGGGACTACGCCATGGCGAACCTGAGCGTGAATCTCTACACTGTGAACGAGCCCTGGCTGTACTCCATCCTGTGGTGCGCCGGCGTCCAGTCGGTCACCTCCGACAGCTCCCACGTCCTTCGCAAGGTGCCTTTTCCCATCTGGCTAATGGTAAGCACGATGCCTGGGAAAGTGCTGTGAACCCCTGGGAGGAGGGGATGCAGTGGAGGAATGCAGAGGTGGCCATTGACCACTGCAGCCATATGTCTAGTGGGTTTCTCCAGGAAGATTTGGTTGGGTTCAACGTGCTATTGGGCTTGAGAGTTTTCCTCTTCTGTATACCTGAGCCCTGAGATGGTAAAGGATCAATGCTCCTCTTGCATGATCCCTTCCTTCAGATGACCTCGTCTCAGCCCATACAACCCCAAGGTGGGATCCTTGAAGATTGTGTTGCATGCCCCATTTAACCCACGTGATTTTTTTCCATTTTCCTCTGATGGAAAAACATCTTTCCAGACCTGCTGAGCAGCTGTTAGAGTTGCAGGAGAAGCAGGCACAGAGGTAAACAAGCAAACCTGGCTTCTGTGTTTTTGCCAGGCCGCAAAACTAGCTTTTTGCCTGTTTTTAATACCAAATGAGGACAAATTTTACCTCTGGCAACCCCATTGCTGGACAAGGAACAACTGGAGACCAAAGGTATCCCCCTTTACCCATCATGCAGCCAGTAAACTGTCAGACAACTCCTCTAGCACTTTGAGTCTCTGAACCAAACAGAAATATTCATGTTGGACTGGAGGGAAAATGATGAAATATTCACATCAAAGTATTCCCAAAACAAGAGCTCAACTGTGGCAGACCAAGTGCATGTGGTGGAGGGTCTATTTTCTGACAACAGATCTTGGTTGGGTAGGACAACAGGCAGCTGTTTTACCTGCTGCTCTGGTAGATCTGCTTGGGAAAGAATGGGGAGAATAAGAAGAGTCCAAGGAGAATTTAATGTTAATGAGTTATCTGCATCTTCAGCTGGAGGTAGGACCTCAAGAGTACTGCTTAGATGGATGAATGTCTACGCACGATGTCCTTAGCTTAACCTGCTGCTTGCATCTAACTACGCAATTTCACAGTGGCGCGCGCTGAAGCTGGAGGATCAGAAACGGTTTTATAAAAACTGAATCTATTGGCAGAAGATATGATCGTCATCTGAATTGTGCTGCTGCAAACATCTGTCCTCCACTACAGCTGGCAGGAGCTGTGTGCACATCACTGGCAGCTTTTTGCTCCAAAAGCCTCTTTGCTGGTACTTGGAGCCCTCTTGCAAGGGCTTTCCCATCTGCTGGATTTCCAACTCAGCCCTCTGCTGCAAGTGCACACTCTTATATCACTGGCAGCTTAAAAATCCCTTGATTTCTTGTGTATTGAAGTGCCTGGGTGATGTAATCTAACCAGCTTTGCCATCTGAGCCCCTCCACCACGTAGAACATGGCTTGGGACCTAGAGCGAACAGTTGTTTCTGCCAGGCTTTGGCTGCCCAGTGCCCTGGGGAGATCACAGAATCAAAGAACAATTTGGGTTGGAAGGGATCTTAAAGATCATCTAGTTCCACTCCCCCTACCATGGGCAGGGACACCCTCCACTAGACCAGGTTGCCCAAAGCCCCATCCAACCTGGCCTTGAACACTTCCAGGGATGGGGCAGCCACAACTTCTCTGGGCAACCTGTGCCAGTGCCTCACCACCCTCAGAGGGAAGAATTTCTTCCTTAGATCTAAATATCCCCTCTTTCAGTTTAAAGCCATTACATTGGCTTTACATACAGATTCATCTTTTGACTTCACATACGGATTTGTCAGGCTTTATTGCTGGCTGAACAGTGCAAATCTGTTCTGCTCCATTCACCCAGGGGCCAAAAATACCTTTAACTTCTGTTTTAGTTAAAGGAAAGACAAATTTAAAAAAAAAGTGACAGTCTCTTTCCCCTCTACTGTTGATGGAAAGTTGCTGGTGAGAAGAAAGACCATCAGACATGACATAGAAGAGGGCTTTGAAAAGCTTAAGCTGGGTTTCAGCTCTCAACTTGATGGCCTTAAAGCAGGTGCCCAGAGTGGTGCTCTCCACCATTTTGGGAGTCTCTCTCAAAGCCTGGGTTTGAGTTGCTCCCTCCCCAGTTACCCTGAATTGGTGAAGGGTTTGACAGGCTGCAAGTGTGAGGATTTCAGGAGGAAAACTTATATTGGGTAAAATTTAGTAAAAAATCAATGTAATATCACAAAAAAAGACCGGTCTAGAAGAGAGGAACTGAGGCGAAGTACAGCAAATACCTGAGCAGGTCTTGGTGTGGATGGAGCAGGACAAGTTGTCTCGGCAACAGATGTTTGCTGGCCCATGCTCCCTCCTTTGCAGGGCTGAGGAGGCATCTGCTCACTGGGCACTCTTAATTGTGGAGCTGAGGGGTTTTCAAGGCCAGGTTGGATGATTTCAAGGCCAGGTTGGACGAGGCCCTGAGCAACCTGATCTAGTTGGAGATATCCCTGTTCCTTGCAGGGGGGTTGGACTAGATGACCTTTGAAGGTCCCTTCCAGCCCTAACCATTCTATGATTCTATGATTAATAATGATGTGTGTGGGGTACACGTCCTTGAAAAAAAAAAATAAACCCAAACAGTTTTCCCCTTTTGATCATCTTGAAATTCCATTTTTGTCACTTATAAAACCTTGATTTGGTACCAAAAACTTCTAGTTTTGAGTTTTCTGCAGGACTTACATATATTTTTTTTTAATACTTGTAATCAGATGCTGGAGTTTGCCCAGAAATCTGTGTTCATGTCTACCTATTCCTTGGGGTGCATCAGAGGAAATGCAACTGTTGCCCCACAGGAAAACCTGCTATTTGGGTCCTTCAGTTGTGAAATACCGACAGCTGCATAAGTGAAAAATTTAAATGTGTAGATTTTCTTCTAACTTAGAAGACTCTCGAGTTTTCATTCAAAATAGTTAGGATGGTGCTCTTCTGCCAAGAAAATGAGAAATGTCAATTTTGTGTCTGTTCATTTTTATAGATGCAGCAAATGTAACATTAAATGTCACCCTTCAGTAATTAAGCTGAAAATACAAGGATTAAATCTCTATCAGAAACATTGGCTAATTAAAACGTTGCCCTGCTAATTCCATGCTTTCAGAGGATAAATTGAGAGGCACGAAGATTTGCTAAGCAGAAAAACAAGTCATTTTCTGCGGGGAGACAAAGGTAGCAGAGTTGATGGCTCCCAGCTGGTTTTATCCGTACCACACTACCATTCCATGAACTCATCTTTATGCATTATATGTTCTGTTTCTCTATATGAAATATTACTCGTGTGCATTAGTGCTGGTGTTGGTGGTTGTGATGGATCCTTCCAGTAGAAAATCAACAAACTTTACCTCGTTGGGGTAGTCCAGGTTTGGGATAGGAGAAAATCGTTAGCATCACTGGTGTCTGTCTTGGGTAGGTACCTTCTGAGCATCATCAGGAGTTGATTATTATTATCACGTTGTCTTTACTAGTGCTGACCACAAAAATCAGTGTGAAGTAGTGTGCTTCTGTGCTGGCTTCAGATGAGGGGTTTAGCTGGTGTGATGGCCATGGACACTTAAACTGGCAAAGGGAGCCGGAGCTACCAGTGCCTGAAGAGACAGAAATGAAGCAGCATATGCTTATAGCATGGGGGCTGTGCTAAATGGTTAGTGTTAGCACTCAAAATGGACCCTGCGTGTCCTATGTGCATGTGTGAGTGGTGTTCCTCAGGGGTCCGACATTTATTAACATCTTTGTCAGCGACATGGACAGTGGAATCGAGTGCACCCTCAGCAAGTCTGCAGATGACACCAACAGTGTGGTGTGGTGGACACACTGGAGGGAAGGGATGGCATCCAGAGGGACCTGGACAGGCTGGAGAGGTGGGCCTGTGAGAACCTCATGGAGTTCAACAAGGCCAAGTGCAAGGTCCTGCACGTGGGTCGGGGCAATCCCAAGCACAAGAACAGGCTGGGTGGAGAATGGATGGAGAGTAGCCCTGAGGAGAAGGACTTGAGGGTATTGAGTGATGAGATGCTCAACATGAGCTGGCACCGTGCGCTGGCAGCCCAGAAAACCAACTGTGCCCTGGGCTGCACCCAGAGCAGCGTGGGCAGCAGGGCGAGGGAGGGGATTCTGCCCCTCTGCTCTGCTCTCCTCAGGGAGATGATGCGAGGGCTGGAGCACCTCTGCTCTGGAGACAGGCTGGGAGAGTTGGGGCTGTTCAGCCTGGAGAAGAGAAGGCTCCAGGAGAACTCCTAGCAGCCTTCCAGTGCCTAAAGGGGCTACAGGAAAGCTGGAGAGGGACTTTTTACAAGGGCATGTAGTGACAGGACATGGGGCAATGGCTTTAAACTGAAAGAGGGGAGATTTGGGTTGCAGATGGGGAGGAGTTTCTTCACTCTGAGGTGTGGTGAAACAGTGGAACAGGTTGCCCAGAGAAGCTGTGGCTGCCCCATCCCTGGAAGTGTTCAAGGCCAGGTTGGATGAGGCTTTGGGCAACCTGGTGTAGTGGAGGGTGTCCCTGCCCATGGCAGGGGGCTTGGAACTAGGTGATCTTTGATCTCCCTTCCAACCCAAACTATATTCAATGTGTGTATATTTCTGTGTTTTCCTGCAGACTTGGATTTCCAAACAGCATCTTGCCCTCACCTCAAGGTACAGCTGAAATAAGGAACTTTCAGCCCACTGAGCTCTGCAAAAACATCAGCACACAAAAGGAGGGAGAGTTTAAAATTGTTCCCGTTTGCAGTTTTTCCTGATAACGTCATCTTGAGTGACAGTCTAGAATTAAAAATGTCATAAACTTTGTGATTCATGTGTGACCCTGCAGCTCTGTGCTTTTCTTTCTGCCGTGATGGTAACTTCAGCCATGTGTGGTCCCTCTGTGACTGTACAAACCAGAAGGTTTAAGGTCTGCTTCTGTTTTTTGTCTTCCAGCCTCCAGACGAGTACCACCTAATCTGGATCACGTCTGATCTCATTTCATTTATCATAATTGTAGGAGTTTTTATATTCCAGAAGTAAGTAGCATTGTTAAAGCTCGACTCTCGTGCGTTTGCGGCGTGGTTTTTTTGTGCAGAGCGTGGGGTGAAGATGGGAGAGAGGAGCACAGCGCTCCTCAGGTGCTTGGATTGCAATAGCAGGAGAACTCTTTATTAAAAATCCCTACAAAGATTGCAAATGAGAATTCCACCTCTGATATGTGACTTTGAATTGGATGTAGTCACTACTTTATAAGAAGAATGAGAGATCTCAAAATAGTGGCACTCAGAAATGCTTGTGGGAGAGAAACTGTAAATGCTTTTGGGAAATGGATGTTTAGAAAGAGCTTGAAATGCTTTAAAGGAAGAAGAGGAGATGTTTGAGATTCCACCATTACGGTCTTCAAAAAGAACATATTAGATTTTTCTAAAATCAGTTTGTTCCCGTTTGGGTGAAGAAATAGGAATATTATGATTTAGCAAATCAAATCAGTTGCTTGGTTTGATGCCTTGAAAAAGTCTCTCAATCTTCCAAAGAAAAAGAAGAGCAAGGATTTGATGGGGGCACAGCAGGAGCCTCTCCAGGTTCTCCGAAAACAAACAAGGAGCATAAAACCTAGGAGCAGAACAAGTTGAGACACCGACAAACTTCCTTAATGGCAGAGCTGGCCAAGCTGCCTTCATCTTGATTATACTGGAGGAAGCCATGGTGTCCTCCCAGTGATGTGCTTTTTCTCCCAGGAGGCATTTTAGCTGTCAGTAGTGACAGCGTAATAACCCTCTGTGGGAAAAAGTGTGAGCTTGGAGCGAGAAGCTGCAGCCTTCTCCTGGGAAAACGTGTCATTCTGGAATTGCACCCCCTCTTCCCCTTGCTCTATAATCTCATCTGCTTTGGCATGCCCAAACGACTGACCGGGACACATCAAGGGACCTACACTTTCCTTCCTCCTTGATAGTCCGCTTTAGGAGCAGCTTTGCTTCAGCCTCATGAGCTGATGATTTTGCTGTCACATCGTCCCAGATCATCTGCTTGCAGCAATCTCTTGCCTTCCCCCAGGTGCATAATTACCTGGGTATTTTTGCCATGTCGTGGCAGTGCTCCTGCCAGCACCCATTATGGATTTGACTTCAGGCCACATGTTGGATCTGTTTATAATCGTGTCTCAATTCACGACTTGCACAGTCCTATGCTGGTAGACCTGTGCCCAGCAGGTCCCCAATTCCAGCATGGGATAATGGAGTGAGCAGCAGATTCAAAACTCTCCTCTCAGATTAGATTTCCCAACAGTTAATGAAACCACTGACCGAGATGAGATTAAATTTTTTCTGAGAAGTCTTGTGATGTGAGTTGTGGCCGATTAAATCTTTCCTCCAGAAGGACATTGTGGCTGTGTTGTCTGGAAGCTTCTTCCACTCCCTCAAATTCATCAGTTGGTTTAATAAGATGTCCCTGCTCTTTAGACCCTGGATTTCTCTGGGCTCTAAAGAGAGATGCAGAAATGCACAGAGGAGTCTGGAGGCAGGCACTGACCTCTCTGAAGACCAGAATTTGAAGACCAAGTTGATGAGATATTTCTGTATCACTTCCCAAAGTTGGATTTAGAAAGCTTTCCTGAATCAGACCCAGGAGACCACAGCTGAAGAAATTAAACTGATTCAACCTGCTGAATGGGAACTGTAGGTCCCAGAGCAAAGTGAAATGATGCATGTTTGGAGAGAGGGAGAAGTCACAGCTACGTGGACTTTGCAATAGCTGGACTCTTCCTCTCTGCACGCATGGAATTTCTTCTAGTCTGGAAGAGGTTTGATGAAGTAGGGCAAGAGGAAGCAGGGTAAGGAAGGAAAGCATTATTGCAGGATTTCTTTTCCACCCTCAGTGTAAGTATGATGCAAATGAGAATAGCTGGGAGCTGCCACCAGCTTTCCCCAGGGTCCATCAACCCTGAGCACTGAGATCGTAGAATCATAGAATGACTGGGTTGGAAGGGACCTCAAAGATCATCTAGTTCCACCCCCCCTGCCATGGGCAGGGACACCCTCCACTGCACCAGGTTGCTTAAAGCCTCATCCAACCTGGCATTGAACACTTCCAGGGAAGGGGCAAGGATCCTTGCCCAGCCTCTGGACCTGTCATAGAAAGGCATTTGCTCAGAGAGGTCTGGCCACATGTAGCCCATTCTAGCAGGGCCAAATATCTTCTTTTGGATCTCTCCCTTGGGACAACTCAACCTCAAGTCAGTAGAAGGAAGAATGAGAAACTCTAGTGCCACAAGTTGGACTTTCTGCAGGAAAGGGCTTGCTCTTCCAAGAGCCTTGTGCAGGAGAGACCCATTTCCCTGCTGTTGCAGTTTCTCCACCACATGAAAGAAGCGGTAGCAGTGTTGAGGATATATCAAAACCAAATCGCAGCAGAATTGCCCAACTACTACCTGCTGATGTGATCCAGCTCCGGGAAATGGGGCTTGGCATTTGGCCTTCAGCGTCGTGGTTGGGTTTGGTTTGGGTTTTTTGGGGAGGTTTTTTGTTGTGTTTTTTTTTTCCCCCCAAGTCCTTTTTGGGGCAAACCAGAGCTGCTTCCTTCATGCAAGGACGAGGGGGTGGGTGGGAACAGAGCCACCGCTTCGATGTGCTCGTCCTCTCTTCTACGCATGCTTGTCTCTCCTCCGTAGCCGTGGGTAGGGATTGCTCCTGCTGTTCTGCTTCAGCCCTGGTGACAGGATCGTGGCAGCCTCTCCGGAGGGGAAATACCAACTGTGATGACTTCTAACAGATCTTTTTTTGGTTTTTTTTTTTTGCCTCTTTGCCTTGTTTATTTTCTTACTGCTCTGACTGTTGTGCACGTTCCTCCTCTTTCTCTCTCTGCTGCATTCTGGCATCTCACAGCTATCACATGATCAGGTAATTTCTGGTGCTTTCCTCCTCTTTCTCTTTTTTTCATTCAACCTTCCTTTCTCTCTTTCTTTCTCCCTCTCTGCTATGGCTTCACTGCAGATGGGCAGGGCAGGACGCAGTTTTTCACAATGCTTTCAAACATCTGGCTTCGCGGGGTGGGGGGACCATGAGGATCTGAGCATTGCATAGTCCATAGCCATGAGCACCACAGGAGCCTGATGCTGAAGCTGGTGGATGTTTTGAAGGCAATCTGACCTTGTGTTACGATGATCCAAGTTGCTGCCTTCTAAAACAGCCCTATTCTGAGGTCCTGCTGTGTGTTGTAGTTGGGAAATTTCCAGTGGATGTAACGCTTTCTCCATGGAAATAATCCCATGCAAAATATCCCCTTCCTTCCTGCATTTACCTGAGGTTTTTGAGACCAACCTCTTCTAAATTGGCCAATTTTAAAGAAAATAACGTAACCTGTTCAGTTATGTAAAGTAGCACTTCCCTAGCCCTGGGAATGAATTAGGCTAACAAGCTGGAAAGGTTTGGCTCATCAATCACTGCACTTGGAGCTTGGGATCTTTGAGAAGTCTCTTCCTAGATCCTGCCAAACTGGAAACGCTGTGTGAAAATAAATAGCATTGCACCCAGGAAGGGAATGAGCCTGGGATGCTGGATTTGAAGTGCCCTCAGTTGGATTCCCAGATTTCTCCTTGTACTGGCTGCTTTCTTGCCAATCACGCTCATCCCCTTGGAGGGAAGCGCTGTCACTTTTCTGCAGTAAAGCCTTCACCGCGTCCGTACTCGGACCGAACTCTTCACGTGTTCCCTTCTCCATTCCTTCCGCCGTGTGCCATGGGGTTGTATTTCTGAGGACTTGGCTACTCCCTATCTGCTTATCCTCCCCTCTCCCTCTGCCCACCCACCGCCTCGGGGTTGGCCACCTGCAAGCATTGCCTGCTCCACGAGGTACCTTGGACTCGCGACGTTATGTCCTCGCCGCATCTCCCCAAAAGAGGACCTGGCTATGGGGTTGGGCTCAGCCCTTCTGTGGGTGCAGGGAGGTTGGGTGTTATCCTCTTCTCGCCTCCCCTTGTTCCCTGGCTTGTGGATAAGGAGAAGACAGGCATGGAGAAGCTGACCAGGCTTTAGGCAAGAGCAGTTGCAGGATGGGGACTTTGTGGTTGTGGCTGGCTTGGCTCTTTGCTCGCTTCATCTTATCACCTCGGTACCAATCAACCTCGTCTTCTCCCTGACCTACCCCTCTCCCATCCCCTTTCCCTGCCATTTAGCATCTTCCCTCCAAAACAAGGGTCCGGTCGTGGCCCTAACACGGTGTCTGCTGTCTCTGTGTTGTTGTCCCAGTATTTTTTAGTCTGTTCCCACCCCGTGTCCGTCTGGTCCGCTTTGATGCCAGCCTCCCAGAACAAGACCTACCTGCTGTCTGTCTGGCCTTTTTGCACGCTGCTGTCCTAAACGTGGCCGATCACAACAGAGTCCAAGGGGGTAGGAGAGGTGCTATTTTCTATTAAACAAGCTTTCAGGACACCCAAAGGCTACTGATAGCAGCAGAGAGTACTTCGGATGGTGTTGGCATTGCATTGTGATTAAATGTGCTGGTGGCTCTTCCAAGAGGGTGTTTCAAACTACCCCTGGAAAATGGGGTCACCTTCTCCTAGCTTGTTCAATCAGAGCAACACACCCCTGTGAGAGGAGTCATTGGCCCCTTGTGCATGTTCAACCAGCCTGGGGCTGACCGTAGCCACCATGAGAGGTGGGGATCAGCAAGCAGTGGTCATTCCTCTTGGCAGAAGGAGAAAAGTCCTTGGTCCCTGCACCCCTTTGAGGCTGGGCTGTCTGTGCCTCAAAGTAGCCCATGCCCTCCATGGGATGTCTAGGACCTACAGGCAAGAAATCATCATGCCTTTTGGCCATGAAACCCAGCCTGATGCTGAAAATCCTGATGTTGTGGACAAAGAAAAGATTCGTAGCTATGAGTTTTGGTCCTGATCTTAGAGTTTAAGGAGGGTCTTATTCTGAGAGACCCCATGCGTTTGCAACCCCATTGACCTTAGTGGAATCTGCCTGCATGGGACACTAAGGGCAAAAATGATTGTCTTCCAGGTTAGAATGGCTCAGCTTAGATGATGATGATAGGAAAAAAATATTCTTTTAATTTATTTTTGATAATATTTTTTTATATACTTCAATGTCTCTGCCTCCTCGTGCTTCCTCTGTGTTGCTTCTGTCCGTGGGTCTGTGAGTTGTGTTGTGCTGCCATCCCACCCCTTCTTTTCTCTGTAGTAGAGCATTTGCCTTCATCCGTACCCCAGTCAAAGCCTGATGGTGCAGTGACACCCACTGGGATTTGGGAAGGGGATAGAAAACCATGAAAGCGACACCAGCTTGATTTTCCTGGAAAAATTGCAGAACCACTTTTGTGGATGTTGCTTTGACAGGCTGATGCTTTGGAGCCAGGCTGGAGATGTGTGGGGCTCCTCAAATCCTCTGCTCCTGGGGCCTGAGTAGGGGGTTAGAAATTTAAGAGAAGGTAATTGTCACCTTTTAAAAACAAAACAAAACAAAATTAAAAATTACCTTCTCTATGTGGGTGAGCCACTAGATGGTGCAAGAAGATCAGAAACCCCATAAGCCACCCTAAATCCCTGCTGTATCTCCATCAAACAGCCTTATGGCATCCCCAGCTCTGACCAGGATTGTGGGATTTACTTGAAAGCCTTCCTCTGTGGTCAGGAGGTAGGACAAATCGGTGGGGTGTGAGCTATGAACGCTTGGCCTACAGAGCATCCCTTTGCAACGGGACCTTGGGTACGGCTACTTTGAGCCCACCAAGCCCTGTTTTCCCCCATTGCAGCAGCAGCCCACCCTTCACTCCTCATACCAGCAGCTCTGTAGCTGAAGGTCTGGTACAGGGGTGCTCTCAGGCTGAAAAACGGTTTTAAAAGTAAAATCCCCCTTGAACTTGTGCCGTTGTTTATTACTAACATTAGTAGTTTTCTTTACATAGAATCATAGATGGGTTGTGTTGGAAGGGACCTCAAACATCATCTAGTTCCAACCCCCCTGCCATGGGCAGGGACACCCTCCACTACACCAGATTGCCCAAAGCCTCATCCAACCTGGCCTTGAACACTGCCAGGGATGGGGCAGCCACAGCTTCTCTGGGCAACCTGTGCCAATGCCTCACCACTCTGGGTGAAGAATGTCTTCCTTAGATTCAGTAATGATCCTACATTCAGTAACGAGAACAAAAATCTGGCTAATTTTAAGTTGAGCCAAGCTCCCATCAGCCTCACTGTTCATGTGGTGGTTACTTGGTGAACACTGAGCTTCATCAAGGCTTAAAAAGTGGAAGGCTTTTGTAGAAACATTTAAGTAAAGACCTGGTGTTTGGGGAGGGAAGTGCACTGGGAGAAATTACATTCAAGATCACTTTATGTGACAGCTCCCTGCACTGGGACTGCTTGTACTTTCCTGTACAGCAGCTCATAGAATCATAGAATGGTTAGGGCTGGAAGGGACCTTCAAAGGTCATCTAGTCCAACTCCCCTGCAACAAACAGGGATATCTCCAACTAGATCAGGTTGCTCAGGGCCTCGTCCAACCTGGCCTTGAATGTCTCCAGGGATGGAGCATCCACCACCTCTCTGGGCATGACCTCATGTCGGTGTCTGCTGTGTCTCAGGTTTGAGACCTTAAATTGTCTTTGAGCTCTCTTCTCCCACAAGCGTGAGCATGTCGCTCAGTGAGGAAAAGGCTATGGTTTCTCTGCTTGGCTTGGTCTCTTGTTCTATTCCCTATATCCAACCCTAAGAGTTAAAATAAGCCTACCTCCTTTGGGCAGCTGGATAGCTGATGTAACAGAGGGGTTTGGAGCATCTGCAGTCCTTGGTGAAATTAGTGGAATTAAGATGCTTAAGGTGGTTCAGGATGACCTGCTTGTATGTCTGTACCCCTCCAAGATAATATGCTCATCTCTGAACATCCTCCTACCGTGCGGGGTTGTGTAGGTGCAAGGGAGGAAAGGCGTGAGGGTCTCTGGGACTTGGTCTCCACATTGTTGGTGGCCACTTGCATTGAGGATGCTCCCAGGGTTGGGGAGACCAGCTACTGATAGCCTCCTCCTGTCTTGCAGGTGGCGCCTGGGAAGCATCAGGACCTACAACCCGGAGCAGATCATGCTCAGTGCTGCTGTCCGCCGCTCCAGCCAAGATGTCAAGATCATGAAGGAGAAGCTGATCTTCTCAGGTATGGATGGGGCTGGTCAGTCAGAGCCCTTTGCTCTCTGCTGGTGGAAGAGGTGGTCTTGATACAGCTGTCGTCTCCTTCTGGTGGGACAGAGTGACTGGATTTACTCTGTACTGAACCACTTGTGGGATATGATCATGGCTCATCCATCCCAAACCGATGCAGGTCTGAGCACTGATTTTCTCAGAAATCCTGCATTTAGCTTCCCAAGTTATGCCATGCAGCTCTCATACTGTTGAACATCTCCGCTCTGAATTGTCAACGGTGTGTTGACAATTTTATAGACAAAAGCTATAAAACTCGTTAAAATGATGGCATAGGTCACCATAAATAGTGATGAAGAGTTTGGGGTAGACCTGGAATTCAGTGGCACCATAGGTTGAGGTGTTCCTGATGTCCTTGTGCTCCTCCCAGCGTTTATTTGTGTTGGAACATGCTGGCAACGCGTCTATCTCACCCCACCTCCAAGAAAGATCTCAGAAATGCAAACAAAGAGGGAAACTTTTAGCTTTAAAAGATTAAAATCAGTGCATGAAGCTGGAAAATTCACATTTGAAGGAACATGAATAAGAACGTGAATTGGAGAGGGACTTTTTACAAGGGCATGTGGTGATAGGACATGGGGCAATGGATTTAAACTGAAAGACGGGAGATTTAGATTGGATATAAGAAAAAAAATTTTCACTCTGAGGGTGGTGAGGCACTGGCACAGGTTGCCCAGAGAAGTTGTAGATGCCCCATCCCTGGAAGTGTTCAAGGCCAGGTTGGATGAGGCTTTGGGCAACCTGGTGTAGTGGAAGGTGTCCCTGCCCATGGCAGGGGGGTTGGAACTGGATGATCTTCGAGGTCCCTTCCAACCCAAACCATTCTATGTTTCTAATCTCCCCTTGAGCTTTGTTACGGGTTTTCTTTCTTTGTATTTAGGGGCTGGAGACCTCCAGCAAAGATCAGAATTTATCGTACTGGGCACATACACAGCAAAACGCCAACTCTCACTTCAAAGAGCTCATTGTGTGAAATGCAGGCCTGATTCTGCCCTCCAGAGATGGTGAAAATCGAGTGTAAATCAAGGGAAAGCAGTTGGTCACAGCAGAATTAGACTTTCCCACCACGTTCTAGACATAAAATGTCCTAGACATAAAATATCCTTAGAGGTGGGGGATGCATATTAAAGTTTTCTGCCTCTGAAACAAATATTCTTGCTTAGGGTGGGTGTTTACAATTGAAACATTGGCGGTTGCACGTTTTTCCCAGTGAAACCAGTGACTACAGGAGCCTACCTTTTTCCAGAATGGCCATTTGGGTAGAGATTAAGTTCAGGTGTTTTGCACCCTTTTCCCACAAGTGACTTAATGCAGCCTGTGGCATAACGTCATGTGTATGGAGGAGGGGAGAGTCCAGTTTTGCCTCTGATGGTGGGAGGATTGTCAAGGTCTGAAATTTAGAGGTGAGCTCCTATTCGGAGGCAGATCCTCTTCAGACCTGGTTTTAAATGGGTGCGGTGTTACTAAACCCGAGGTGAAATCCCTGTAAGGATCAGATGGATCCCGTGTGCTGGAATCACACAGCTGCTCTATGCCTCAGTTTCCCCATCCATGGAGGTGTTCCTGGGATTTGAACCCCTGTGATGATGTCCCTGCTTTCTCTACTCTCCCTAGAGATCAACAACGGCGTGGAGACCACGGATGAGCTGTCTCTCTGCTCCGAGAACGGCTATGCCAACGAGATGGTCACCCCCACGGATCACCGGGACACCAAGCTGCGGATAAACTGAGGGGCTCCAGTCCAACCCCGACGTGTGATGTCCCCTGCGTTTGCTTCGGCAGCGAGAGCCGTGCTCTCCTGCTTGCTGCGGGATGGGAACTTTTGAGGAACTGCTGGTTGGGCAGAGACCCCTTCCCATACCCCAACAAGAGCTGCTCCACCTCCCTGGTTGTGAGGTCGGGGGGGCTTATTTTTGTAAATATGTAGAAAATCTGAATTTTTTTGTCTCTTTTTTTTTTTAGTGTATTTTTTCCAAGGCATGAATGGAAATACCATGTTCATTAAATCCTCGACCTTATGGCTGAAGTTATTTGAATCTTGACAGCCTGAGTCCCCTCGGGGGGTTCTGGGAAAAACACGTTGGACGTGTCTCCCCTTTCTCCCCCTTGCCCTGCTCCACTCCTTCCCTTGGTGCAGCGACTGTGTAGCTGAATGTTGTGATGTTCTCGTGAAGTGTCGTTTTGTTTATGGGGTTTTTTTTTTGTTTCCCCCTTTCCTGGGCAATGAAGTTTTAGCTCTAATGCACCTGGAGGCTGTTTGGAGGAGAGAAGCTTTTCTAGGAGAGGAGATAGCACTGCTCTTCCCTGCTGAAGTTCAGAGCCAGGGAAGGGGCTGCACTGGCTCGGTCACTTGGGCACCTTCTCCCCCATCCCATCCTCCTTCCCCAAAACCTGGATGCTTGCAGGGGAATGGCCTTCTTGAAATGTCCTGCCACAGTCTTGAAGGCAAATCCTAAGAGCTGGCTGTAGACTGGCCTCTGCTGGCAGCAATGATTTCATTTTTGATTTTTTTTTCCCCCTTTATTCTTTGTTTTGATCTTCTCCCTGAGTTGGGCTTTGTCGGGAGCCTGGATGGCTTGCAAAAAGCAATGCCATGGGCACCATCACCGCTCAGATCTGGCTAAAGTGCCTGCCACTCCAGGTGGCATCTGCAGTCGCTCCTTGCTTCCCTGTCCTTGCACCCACGTAGGAAGAGGAGGTGGTGGTGGAGTGTGAGCTTCCCCCTCTCTGGGCCAACGAGATGTCCATGGGTGAAGGAGTTGTAAATAGTTTGGAAGGTGAAGCAGCCCCGGAGTATAATTTATTCCTGCAAGGAGACCTTTTCTCCTTGCTTTAAAAACAGGATTCTTAAAGCTGCATGTTCACGTCCTCCAAAGGAGGACGATCTTGCAGCAGATGCTGACAGGTTCATGAAAGTAAGAGCTTTCATCATCGTTTTTCCAATGCAAAAGGCTTTAAACCAAAATCCTAGACCAGAGGTTAAAAGGAAAAAAAAAAAACTAGTAGATGACAGTTGAATTTTATCCCCTCCCTGAAATGGCTCACAGCCAGCCCAAGGGCGATCTCAGCTCTTTGCTCTTGACCTTCAAGGCCTCATGGAGAGGAGCCTGTTTTTTGGGTCACTTTGCCGTTCGCGCGGAGCCGGTTCCCAAGGCAGCTGAAGCCAGCCAGAAGGCTGCCGGAGATGTGAATGGGTCTTGGCTCAGTCCCCGTGACCTTCTGGGGTTGGGTTGCTCCCTTCCTCGCCGGATCTTGGTCAACGCAACGTGAGAAATCCCATTGAGCGCGAGCTTCCTTTGAAGTTTCACGTGCACTGCCTTGAAAGCGATGAGACCATCAAAGCTATTTACCATGGATGGAACGGGAGCTGAGGCTGAGGAGTCCTCAGGTTCTGGCCAAGCTGATTGTAGAGCCCGTGAGTGGCTGGGAGAAGTCACCTTGCAGAGGAGACGGAGGTCTAGGGGATGCTGATGTGCATCACGTTTGATACTTATTCCAGAAATAAGCCACGATAAAAACAACCTTGAGCAGTTTGTTCTTGTTTTGGCAGCACTCAACTGCTCCATCTTTTTGAAGCTGTGCTCCAGCAGTGTTTTGGAACCCCAAAGTCTTCAGCTTAGTGTGTAAGAATTGGGGGCAAAAGTGGCCAACTTACCTACGTGAAAGAAAAATACCCTTATTGATAACGAAAATATGAATTGTGATGCTTTAACAAGCACCTCCTAAGTGGTGCAAATCAAGAATTTAATTCCTTTGCATCTAGCCTGGGTTTTTATGAATGTAAATGGAAAAAGACCCTGGTCCGTGCTCCCTGTTACCTTCCCCAAGTACTGCCCTTCTATATGGTATGGTACTCTCTCAAGTCTGTGAAATACAGTGTGTTTTTTTCTGCAGAACTGCAAGATATTGGTGGATTTGAAGGCTTTTGAGAACAAAGTTGCTTCTCCTTTTGTGGTGCTGTATTGAAACATTCCCGGTGGATTGTCATTGCCAAGTCAGAGATGTTGTTAAATCTCAGCATCTGTTGATAATCACCTGCATGTTCTATTTTTACCCTGGGAGAGGACTTTTTTGAAAGGTCAAGTGCTTAAAAGCTTGGAAGTGTTAAAAGCAATCCAACGAAGAGTTGCTTTCACAATTCACCTTTTTCTTTCTTTTTTTTTTATGATGAGACCCAAACTTTATGCGTAATGCACTGACTGTTACCGTTATTGTCCTGAATATTTGCTACCTTTTTTTTTTAAAAAAAAAGGATGATACTTTTTTCATGAAAATAGAGCTAGACCAAAATAAATTCTGCAATGCTCTGTGAAATAAACTGTCAGTATTCCCCTGCCAGTCTGTGACTTTGTTTTGTGTTCTGGGATCGCTTGCGAAATGAGGATGTCTTGGTCTTCTCCCTGTGTTTCTGCTTTCCCTTGCTTCGTGAGGGAGGTTTGGAGAGGATCCTTCTTGAAATCAGTACAGCTGTGTTGCATCTCTTCTTGATGGCACCGAGCCGAGTGGTGTAGTTGACACACCTGAGGGACGGGATGCTGTTCAAAGGGACCTGAACAAGCATGAGAAGGGGGTTCACATGAACCTCACAAGGTTCAACAAGGGCAACGTCCTGCACCTGGCAGCCCCTAGTATCCATATAGGCTGGGGGATGAAGGGATTGAGAGCAGCCCTGTGGAGAAGGAATTGGGGGTACTGGTGGATGAAAAGCTGGATATGAGCTGGCACCATGCGCTGGCAGCCCAGAAAGCCAACTGTGTCCTGAGCTGCATCAAAAGCAGCGTGGGCAGTAGGGCGAGGGAGGAGATTCTGCTCTTGTGAGCCTCCCTGCCTGCAGCTCTGAGGCCCCCAACACAAGAAGGACATGGAGCTGCTGGAGCAGGTCCAGAGGAGGGCCACAAAAATGATCCGAGGGCTGGAGCACCTCTGCTCTGGAGATAGGCTGAGAGAGTTGGGGCTGTTCAGCCTGGGGAAGAGAAGGCTCCGGAGAGACCTTCCAGCACCTAAAGGGGCTAGAAGAAAGCTGGAAAGGGGCTTTGGACATAGACATGGAGTGACAAGACAAGGGGCAATGGCTTTAAACTGAAAGAGGGGAGATTTCGATTAGATATAAGGAAGAAATTTTTTATGACGAGAGTGACGAAGCACCGGAACAGATTGGCCAGAGAAGTTGTGGATGCCCCATCTGTGGCAGTATTCAAGGTCAGGTTGGACAGGGCTCTGAGCAACCTAATCTAGTTGAAGATGTCCCTGCTTGTTGTAGGGGGTTGGACTAGATGACCTTTAAAGGTCCCTTCACCCAGATCGTTCTACAGTTCTCTCCCATCCAAGTTTCATAAGACAGTAGCTGAAAAACAGCCATGTGGAGAGGAGATGACTGCAGACCTGAGTCTTGAACAATAACTGTAGAATAATTTTTGAGTGTTTGTGGCCACATGGGGACAATGATGCACCCGTAGAACCGATCAGGCAGCAGTTTCAAACCAAACAAACGGGAAGCAATTTATTTTTAACACGCATTATGCAAGTCATTGCCCCAGGGTGCTGTGAAGACCAAAACCCATAAGCAAGTTTAAAGAGAAATAAATGGCTCATAACGTCCATTAGCCCTTATTAAACACAGGAGTCCAGATGCAAGATCCAGCTTGGGAAGTCCCTGAGCAGTTCTTTGCTAAGTGTGGATATTAAGGGAATGGCTTGCTTGGTGCTTGCTCTTTTATTTTTTTTTCATTCTTTACCCCAGGATCTGCTCCCAGCTGCAGACAGAAGGTGCTTTGGGTGAGAAGGGGATGTTGTCTGGGTCAGGGTGGGATTGTTCTTTGTTAAGCAGCTGTTTTCTCCGGCCCCTGAACGGTTGCATTTAAGTGATAGTTGGATTAAAGCAAACACAACACTATCTCACTGGTTGGTGATGGGTTTGTCAGTATGGGGTCATGGATTTAACTGGCTCTGGGAATACCGTTTGAGTGTTCAATATAAAGTTGCCCTAAGGGAAGGTGCAGAGCTCCTGATACCTACAATATTGAATAATCCTTAACTGGGGGCTGTGCTGGCTCTACCCTAGGGAAAGGTGTTGAAAGGAGAGAAATGAGAGTCATGTAGGCTGTGTCTGTTACTCAAATAAAAGAGCTGAGGATTGGTTGCTGGCTCGAAGCCCAAGCGGCTTGGGACAGCCAACATTGTGCTATATTTAACTCTTTTTCTTCCTCTCTGAAACTGCCCTTATTTGTGAGAGCCTAGTGGTACAGCTGGGATCGTTCTCGTGGTATCTGGGAACCTTTCCAGCCCTTTAAATTTGCCAGTAGAGTTGTAGTCCTGGGGTCTGGGAAGCGATGCTGATGTGACCATGCCCTAGACCTGCACAGTTATCTGCCATAAGAAGGATCTCCTATACCTCTGCTAAAGCCTTAATATGATGCGGTGGCTGGGGGCTTGCAAAGCTCAAACTGGGCATGAAAAGTCTAGCCATGGCGTGAGCAGCAGCAGTGACGTGAGGCTGAAGGCTGATTTCCCTTCTCCTGGACTCTTGGTGCAAGCAACCTCTTCTTGGCTGAAGCTCTAGACCAAGGTCCAAGCTCAAGGTGAGTAGTGACCATGTGGGAAATAGGAAACTAAGTTGTTTTTTTTTCTCTTAAACGTCTTCTGTTTTCTCTTTCTCTTCTTCCTGGGCCCTGATTCTGTTCCAGTTCCTTCTCTGCCTTCCTCATTTACTTGGTTCTCCTGCTTTGGTCTCTTCTCCTGGAGGCTGGTGACTGCCCTTCACTTCTGCTTACTGGCTGAGGGTGCAAAGGGGATGTCCTGACCCTCTCCATGA